AAAAAAAATTATAGTAAAAGTTTGACTGCTTAGATAAAATAAACAAAAGCTTTGAAAATATGCATCAAAGTGATCATTGAAGGGGTGCTGGAGAGGTGGTTTAAGTGGTTAAGAAGACTGGTTGCTCCTGCAAAAGACCTGCATTTAGGTCCCAGCACCCACATGGTGCTAACTACCATCCATAACTCCAGTTCCAGGGGATTTGACACCCTCTGTAGCCTCTAAGAATATTATATACATGGGTGCACTTTCATACATGCAGTATGTAGACAAAACACACACACGAAATTAAAATAAGTAAATAAAAAATTTGAAAAATAATTAATGAAGGCCAGCCTGATGACAGAGGTGTAATTTCAGTACTTAGGAGACTGACTAGGAGATTTCAAATTTGATAACTGCATGAGCTAAATTGTGAGACCCCACTGCAATCACAAAAAATAATTAAAAAAAAAACAGATCCATGAAAATATGAAGCCTACTGGGTTGAGTCCTATATTGAATTTTTTAAAATAATTATTAAATCTCATTCTATATACACATGAAAAGGGAAAAATGTGGGAAAAATGGAAAGCTCAGATGTCTCACTGGGGGATTAGAGTCTAAAAATGTATTAAACATTTTGAAGAGAATTAATTTCAATCTGACACAGATAATTTTAAAAGTCTGAGAAAGAGGAAGAATTTCCTGACTCTTTTCTTTGAGGATAATGTACCCCACTACAAATAACTGTAAAAACTAAAATAAAATCACAGAGCAAAATCCCTTACATGGAGATGCAAAACTAATTAACTAAATAAAATAATTCAACATATGAAAATTATAATATCTTACAACTATGTCAGATCTGGCCCACAAATGCAAAATTGGTTTTATATTTTACAAATCATAGTAGCTGTCCATATTAACATACAAAGTAAAAATATTTCTGTTTATTTTAGTGGACTCAGAAAAGCATTTGACAAAGTGTTTCAGCATTTATTTATTATAAACCTTCTCAGCTACCTGGGAATAATAGGGAAGTTGTTGACTCTGATGAAAGGCAACCAAAAAAAGCTGTAACTTGCTGGGCGTGGTGGTGCACGCC